CAAATTTAAGGAAGTGAACGTGAGAGACAAATCTACAAGAGTGTTTAAAAGTAGATCCCTAATCGTAGAAACTGAGAGGTTACTTATCATCTGGATTAGGGAAAAACAGATGAAAGGTGATTCAGTTTCTGGTGATTTCATTTGTGAAAGAGCCAGGGAGATTTATGAACATTTAAAGACAGATCAACCTAGTTCTTCAGGAACAGAATTTGAAGATTTTCGGGCTAGCAAAGGCTGGTTCGAAAAATTTAAGAAAAGAAGTGACATTTTAAGTGTTGTTAGGCATGGTGAAGCTGCTAGTGCTGATAAAGAAGGGGCAGCAAAGTTTTTAATTGAATTTAAAAAACTGATGGAAGAAGAAAATTATCTTCCACAGCAAGTGTTCAATGTTGACGAAACTGGGCTGTTCTGGAAAAAGATGCCCAAAAGAACATTCATCACCAAGGATGAAGCCTCTTTACCTGGGCATAAACCCATGAAAGACCGTCTCACTCTATTGCTTGGTGCCAATGCTTCAGGGGATTTCCGACTGAAGCCTATGCTTGTCTACCACTCTGAAAACCCCAGGGTGTTCAAGCAACAGAAAGTGGTAAGAACAATGCTTGGAGTTTATTGGAAGTCCAACCGTAAGGCATGGGTGACAAGACAGTTCTTTAATGAATGGGCTGTTGATGTGTTTTGCCCCTCTGTCAAGAGCTACCTAACCACCAATAAACTTCCTTTAAAGGCTCTTCTCCTCATGGATAATGCTCCTGGTCATGACCCTGACCTTGCCAGAAATTTGGAGTATAAATTTGACTTTGTGAAAGTGTTGTTTTTGCCTCCAAACACTACATCACTCATACAGCCAATGGACCAGAATGTGATCAGCAACTTCAAGAAGTTGTACATGAAGAAAATGTTTAGGAGGTGTCATCAGGCAACTTCCATTGATCCTGAACTAACACTGAAACAGTTCTGGAAGACACAATTCAACGTCCTGGAGGCTGTAAAATTGATTGTGTCATCATGGCAAGAAGTCTCCAATAGAACCCTCAATTCTTCATGGAAAGCACTGTGGCCATCAGTAGTCCATGATTTTGAGGGATTTGAGGATGACACAGAGTTGGACCAGGAGATTGTGTCCATTGGTCAGTCATTGGGTCTTGAAGTGGAGGAGAAGGATGTGGAAGAGCTTGTGATGTCTCATGAGGAGGAACTTACTCCTAATGACTTGAAGGAACTGGATGAGATGTTACGGGTAGAGGCTGACAGTGGTGAGGAGGAAATTGAAAGTGATGACCATATGTCAGCTAAACAGTTGAAAGATGTGATTTACCACTGGGAGAAGTTCAGGGAACTGGCTTCAAAGCACCCAGAAGTGGAAAAAACTGAACTAACTTTGTGTCATGTTGAGGACTCAGTGGTCTCCTTCTTTAAACATAAGTTAATGGTGAGGACAGATGCCCCACAGACCACAATTGACACTTTCTTCAGTAAAAGGCAGAGGGAACAAGATGCTAGCCCTCAGCCTTCCACTTCAAGAAGGAGAGAGGATGTTCATGGTGGAGAATCTGTCAGTCCAGAGGTTCCTGACATTTTCATGGAAGGTGACTCACCTTCCAAGAAGCAGTAAAATGCTTCTCCTCCACCTCCACTTCCTTCTCTTCTCCCTTCTCCTCCTGCCCCTCCCACTTCAAATGCACATCATCACCATCATCCAGGAGCCTTCTACATACACACCTCAAAGTAAGTAAATTTTTCCGCCATTTTTGTTGAAGTTAGGAAATTTTCGGTGAGCTGGAACCAATTACCCAAAAACCCATTGAAACAATGGTTTCGGTTAACGAACGACCTTCTGGAACGGATTGAGTTCGTTAACCGAGGGGCCACTGTAATGTGAAGTGTAAGAACGAATGTAAGGTATTATTTTACTTTAGGACATATAGCCCCCGCTATTCTGAGCATGGCGGAAATGGATAATAGCGACAATTTAATTTATTTTAAGTAGTTATAAGACTTCTTCTCTGTGAGGAGGTGCTATGTACGCATGCACAATGTTGACTGACTTCATCCAGTTGTGACCAATGAGGTATCGATATCATCAAACAAATTTTTTTCAACCAATCACATTTGATTTTTCTCAAAGGAAGTAGCCTGGGTATGATTTTAATTTCATTGACCAGTTTCACAATGGCCGTGGTGGATGTTGGTTGTTGTTTGTGCTCCTACGATTATTTTAAGTTTATTGCCGAGTTTTACGAGAAAGACGATAATTCTATCCAATTCTTACATATACCTGGTCCTTCCACTTCTAACTAAGGTATTGCACTTTCAGACATGGCACCCCCCTAAGTTTTAACTACTGAAACATTGGTAGGTAGTAGGCAGCTACCGAACAGGGAGGTACTACCGCCTGGGAAGATATTGGCAGCATAATGTGTTGTCTAATGGTAGACCCTGCTGCCATATGGCATCACAAAAATTGTGACCAAGTCCCAGGTTGCTGATCTGACTTTCTGCCTCATTTACACACAATTGTAGGGTCTCAACTGTTTCTATTACATAACAAAACAACATACATATATAACATTTCTCACTGTTGATTTTTTTTTCATTCTTGCATTTCTTTGTATGTATTATTATCAGTGTTATTATTATTACCATTAATATTTTTTTACTTTTTATTATAAATTTTATTTACTATGAATTATTATTATTATTAAATTTTTGCCCCCCGGGCCCTGATGTGGGTCAGTGACCTGTGCCCGGGTGGGCTAATCCCCGTAAAAAAAAAAAAAAAGGTTCGTTTAAGCTAGGCCTACCGGGGGTCCGCCCCTGGCTAGGAGTCAGGTTAGGCCTGTCAGGGGCCACTGGCTTGGAATTAGGTTAGGTTTTGTTAGGTCAAATGATTCGTTTTCTCCCCCACCCAAAAACCCCGATTCCCAGGTTCTCCCCCCCATTATTGTGGGGGAACTAGCCATTTCTACCAAAAATGAAGGTCAGATTCGATTACAACACACCAAAATACACTGGAAAAACATATTGGTCAACTCATAGGGACTCATGTCCTAAAGTAAAATTTACCCAATGTAAATATCGTCAAGACCAACATATGTGGCATTGTGGTAACTCGTTCCCTATAATCCCCGTTAACTGAAAATCAGCGTCAGCAACCTGTAATAATCTCAGAATCCAACGACGAACCAGTACCAGGCCAATAAGGTAAGAATTAAGGGGTCCGACTAATTACCCAAATGTAGCCAAATATAGCCGGAATGAAGTCAAATAATGGTCCTAGATGAATAAATCGGACTGCTAATCACTTCTCGACTAGTATTTGGTGTCAGTCACAAAAAATTGGTAAACTTAATTTAATCTGAGTTAATAGATCGAGTGCATGTACCTAACCTAACCGCGACTAGTATTTGGTGTCACGAAGTCACAAAAAATTGGTAAACTTAATTTAAAATGAGTTAATAGATCAAGTGCATGTACCTTACCTTACCTTACCTCACCTCACCTAACCTAAACTAACCTAATCTAAACTAACCTAATCTAACCTAATCTAACCTAATCTAACCTAACCTAATCTAACCTAACCCAACCCAACTCAGATTAAATTAAGTTTACCAATTTTTTTTTACTTTATGACACCAAATAATAATCGAGAAGTGATTCACAGCCCGAATTATGCTTGTACGACCATCATTTGACTTCATTGCGACTACATTTGGCTACATTTGGGTAATTCCTCGCTCCCTCGGTACATGCACGCGATCTATTAACTCAGATTAAAGTAAGTTTACCAATTTTTTGTGACCGACACCAAATACTAGTCGAGAACTGATTAGCAGTCCGATTTATTCATCTAGGACCATCATTTGACTTCATTGCGACTACATTTGGGTAATTAGTCGGACCGAGAATTAAGTGATTCCATCATATGGTGAGTTAGGTTAGGTCAGGTTAGGTTATTTTAGGTCAGGTTAGGTTATGTTAGGTTAGGTTATTTTAGGTTAGGTTATTTTAGATTAGGTCAGGTTAGGTTATTTTAGGTTAGGTTAGGTCAGGTTAGGTTATTTTAGGTTAGGTCAGGTTAGGATATTTTAGGTTAGGTCAGGTTAGGTTATTTTAGGTTAGGTTAGGTCAGGTTAGGTTATTTTAGGTCAGGTTAGGTTAGGTTATTTTAGGTTAGGTCAGGTTAGGTTAGGGTCAGGTTAGGTTATTTTATTCAGGTTAGGTTAGGTCAGGTTAGGTTAGGTAAGGTTATTTTAGGTTTGGTTATTAGGTCAGGTTAGGTTATTTTAGGTTAGGTCAGGTTAGGTTATTTTAGGTTAGGTCAGGTTAGGATATTTTAGGTTGTCAGGTTAGGTTATTTTAGGTTAGGTCAGGTTAGGTTATTTTAGGTTAGGTCAGGTTAGGTTATTTTAGGTTAGGTCAGGTTAGGTTATTTTAGGTTAGGTTATTTTAGGTTAGGTCAGGTTAGGTTATTTTAGGTTAGGTCAGGTTAGGTTATTTTAGGTTAGGTCAGGTTAGGTTAGGTTATTTTAGGTTAGGTTAGCTTATGTTAGGTCAGGTTAGGTCAATATGCCTGTTTTTCTTTTCTTTTTATATATTTTGTATTCGCTTGGCCATAATTTTTGTCGGAAAACGCCCCACCCAAAACCCCCGATAAATAAAAACCAACCAGTTCCAACACTAATCAAGGTCAGACCCAACCATAACAAAACTACACTAGAAAAACTAAGTTTTGACTTTGTAACACTGTTGTGTGCACTAATACAGATTGACCGAGAACAACCTATCAGATTAGAAGTGAAGTAATTGCCAATCAAACTTATCCCGTTATTAGACCCACCTCCTCCATAAGTCATAGAGAAGCATCGTCTCTTTCTCCCATCTCCAACATCAACGTAATTCGCTCACATATACATATAATTACAAACCAATAAACCAAATCTCCCGTGAATATATATAATATCAAATTGAACAAAACTTTCCCCCCTCAGTGTACCTACCAGCAACTTCAGCGTCAAGCGCCTCTCTCAGCCTCTCCACCAACACCGGCTTATTACCCTTGGTGTCTAGACCTCGTTCCTGTAGTTCAGCCCGTAACTCCGCCACCTTCATCTTACTTGGGTCCATAATATCACTCATGGTCGTTGATCCACTAAAATACTTCACCATAAACTAATTGTTAGGTCAAACGAGCAGTTTCCCGCGCTACACTTCTTCCACACAAACATGCAATATGGCGTCTGATCAGCGAGTCAGCATGGGATGAATGCTCGATCTTCATTGGTCGCTGACTCATTGAACTGAATATACTGCATTCTTATTGGTGTATCCAGTGACATTTTCTTATCCATCTTCTGATTGGCTGTTACAACCCAAGCCATCTACACTTTCGATGTTGTGTGATATAATGAAGACATAAAATACCATATACATACAAAATAAATAAATGACAAGTACCATGATCTATTGATATATTTAATGTTCTAAGTACACCCTACCTATTTAGTTTTATATAAGCATATAATATAATAATTTTATATTTAGCAGATGCGAGATTACTGTGAATGTGTGGCTGTCTGAGTACAAATTGTTTATGCTACATCTTGGTTAGCAATTATTATACAAAACGAAAGAGGTATTATTTAGATTTGATTTTCTATTTATTTTTTTATAAAAAATAAACCAACTAACCAGTAGTGGAATATATTATATATCCATAATTTAACTTAACTTGCCAGTATTGTGACGTTGCGATTTTCCATTTAATGACACGCTCAGCAGTTCAGCAGAAGACATTATTCCTACACGAAGGAGATAAAATAAAATAAACTGAGAAGTAAAAGACCTTGCTAAATTTAGTATAAGTTAATATAACCAGAGTCACTTTAAAACTTATTTAAAAATGTGGTTGTGGGGTTCAAGATGTTTGGTTCACACTCAGGATGGGGTGGAGAAAGGAAACTCACAATGTGCTCTCTGTATACATGTTGTATTGGATGTACAATGCAGCTTGGTGCTGGGAAGGCAGCATGGTTACAAGCGTGATATAGAGAGAGCTGGTTGGTGAGGGTGCTCAGAGGAGGACAGCTTGTGGGTCGCCATGCTCGCCAGCGGGAGAGAGGACCGCCAGGTAGGCGGAGAAGCGAGGGAAGGCCGCCAGGCAGCGGCGGAGGAGGTGGTGTTGCTGATTGCGGCTGTAGGTAGAAAGAGGCAGGTCACCACAAGGTCAGGTCTTAAATAGCGGGGGTTGGCGTGGCTTAGTAGTTGACCCCCGCTCCGTGGTGTATGGCGGCGCTGGTTGGCCCAGACCACGAGGCACACACTGGGGAATTGGTGGGGTCGGCTAGGCAGCGACAAACAGCGTTTGTAGGGGAGAATTCCACTACATGGTCCTGTGTGACGTCATACTGTATTGACAAGCAGTATTTTTTTATTATTATTTATGTCCAAGGGACGAAAAACTCATAAGAAATTAAGATTGAAGAAAATTACAGCAAGCCTATTAGCCCGTACTAGGCAACGCACACATGTATATCTGTACAACCTCTAAACCAGTGGTTCTCAACCTTGTTTGCCCCATGCACCCCTTTCACCATATGTCAGAATGTCATTCCCCCCTCCTTTCCAAGATTGTCTGCCTCATAAAGTGCATTCCAAATAATATGCATATAATACTGAAAATCCTTTATTTTTTCCATATTAGTATCAGTTTCCCCCCCTGAAAACCTGAGGGGGGAAATTCCCCCCTGGTTGAGAACCCCTGCTCTAAACTTTAACTTTTATCATCTTCGCCACTAATCGGCTCGTTAGCCGCTTAGGAGAACTGAACTGGGAACTGAGCCTTCACAGTGACCGGACTTCTCTTCAGACCCCTCACCGCCAAAGCAGCCAGCCTTTTTTTTCTACTGTTGACGACCGGACCACAACTCGACCTCTCTGACTACTACTGGACGTCCCAGGAATCCTGTTTGGGGCAACGCCCTTTGTGGGACTCCACCTTTGGAAAACAACCACGACTGTCACCGGACTATCTTACAGGCGTTCAGGATTGTCACCCCTCGCTTTGAGTGAATGACCCACACTCCTGCTGGAGGGCAGCTATTGGTTGGCAGTACAGACGTAGTTTGAGGTCTTTCTCTCATTACTTTTACTTTTATTCTCTTCACCACTGATTGGCTCGTTAGCCGCTTGGGCGATCGGTCACGTCTCTGTTACACACTGTTGGCAAGTACTGGGCATGCACATGCTCCTGAATGTACCTGAACCCGCTCCAGTGTTGGTCAAGTCTTGTCTTGAAAGAGCTCACACTCGGTGCCGTCACAACACTCTCTGGTAGATTGTTCCAAGAGTTCACAACCCCAAGAGTTCACAAAAATTTCTCTCAAATTCCTTTACAACTAAAAACCTGGAACGTCAATGTGGCATTTAAAAACTTATGCACTGTTAAACAAATGTTAATCAAGAACTCCCCCAACAACACAATTGGTTGCATTTATAAAGTTCCTTGCAAGGAATGTAATATGTTTTACTTAGGCCAGACAGGTAAAGATCTTGTAACTAGACTTAAACAACATAAATATAGTGTTAGGACAGGCCAGAAATCCAATGCTCTTGTAGGGGTATCGAGATATTAATGTCGTTTAGCACTCAGGATGGAAGGAAACTCTAATGTGGTTTTCTTGTATAATACAGTATATAAGTTATATGATAGACAGTCTGGTGCTGGAGATGCCGTGTGGTGGGGAGCAGCTCAGTAGAAGACGTTCGGGAGTATCGTGTTGAAGGAGGTAGATGTGCAGGAGCTTCGTTAGAGAAGATGTTGCCTGTTGCTGGCCTCCTGGTTGAATGAAATGTTAACAGCGTGGAGCTTGCTGGAGGAGATGTTGCTTGTTCAGGAAGAATGGTCAGAATGAATCTCAAGGGAGAGACAGAGCTTATATACCCCGCAGCAGCCGCTATGAGTCATGGTGGGAAAACCCGAGAAGTAGCCGGTGACTAGTTTCGTTGCTAAGATACGGTAACATCTGGTTGGTTGCTAGGGAAGGCGGCACATTGGAATGTGATAGCAGGTGGTGTGCAGCTATGCAGTTAGTTTGTAGAGGAGACATCCACTACAATACTCCCCCTCCCCTCCAGGCGCGGCGGGAGGCTGGATGTTGTCCGGGTTGTGTCCCACACATAACACATACCGGGCAGGTGTATGTACGACTCGACCGCTACGTGTAACAACTCCGTCCAGTGACACAAAACCTGTGGGAGAATTAGGAGGAGAAAGAGGGTTTGGGATTAGAGGAGGTTGTACAAGCAATGGTTGTTGTGCTCCTGCTGCTGCAGGGGCTGCGTCAGGAGGAGGGTCCATGGCAGGAGCAGGTTCAGGTTCTATGACAGGAGGAGGGTCTATGACAGGAGCAGATTCTATGATAGGAGGGAGGTTTATTACAGGTTCAGGTTCTATGACAGGAGCAGGTTGTACATGAGGGTGAAAAGACGGTGCCCAGAAATGTCGTGGGTGTGGTGTTGCTGCCGGTGGTAACTGCGGGTGGACTGGTGCAGGCGTAGTTTGTTGATGGTGCTGCTGGGCTGGGGGCCCGACGGGTAAGGTGGCCGGTTTGACTCTGTCTATGCTGACGGTGTCATGTCTGCCATTCCGGATAATTGTCAGGAACTTTGCAGAACGGGTAACCACCTGGAAGGGTCCATCGTAGGGGCGTTGTAATGGGTTGCAGTGAGCATCATGCCTGACGAAAACATACTCAGCTGTGAGTAGTGCAGGAGGGATGTGTTCAGGGCGCCGAGTAGGCTGGCGTGGAGCAGTAGCTCTGAATGCAGAAACTGCTTGTCGTAGCTTTTGGAGTAAGTCGTGACGAACGGCTGGAGTGGTTTGGTTGGGATCAGGAGGGAGTGAGAAATCCCCGGGTAGCCGAAGGGGCTCGCCTAGTGTCAGATCTGCTGGGCTACAATCCATATCCTCCTTGTGTGACGCACGGATGCCGAGGAGCACTAAGGGAAGCGCATCAGTCCAGCTGTAAGGGTCGTGCTGTGCCTTGAGTGCGTCCTTCAGCTGCCGGTGAAAACGTTCTACCATGCCGTTGGCTTGAGGGTGGTATGCTGTAGTGCGTTGTCTAGACGTGCCGAGGAACTGTAGGAGGTCCTGCCAGAGTTGTGACTCAAACTGTACTCCTCGGTCAGTGATTACGGTTGCTGGGGGGCCAAAACGGGAAACCCAACCGGACATGAAGGCGCGGACAGTAGTCTCTGCTGTAGCGTTGGGCATGGGAATTGCTTCTGTCCACCTGGTGAAACGGTCGATGCAGGTGAAGATGTAGGTGCTACCGTAGGATGATGGTAGAGGTCCCACGATGTCGAGGTGTACTACTTGAAAACGGCCTTTGGGAATAGGAAAAGCTTGTAAGGGGGCCCGTATGTGACGATGTATTTTGGAGGACTGGCAGGCCAGGCACTGGGCAGCCCATTTCTTAGTATCAGACTTGATGCCGGGCCAGACGACACGTTGCGTGAGGAGGCGCTGGGAGGCCCGCACACCCGGGTGGCTGAGACCATGGATGCGGTCGAAAACAGCGCGGCGGTGGACGTGAGGCACGAACGGTCTAGGCTGTCCACAGGATACGTCGCACCACAATTTTATCTTTGTGCCAGGAACAGGGAGTTCTTGGAGTATGAGGCCTGAGGGGGATGTCTTGTATGCTGCCAGGTCTTCGTCTTTCTCTTGAGCCGCGGCTAGCTGCCCATAATCAATGGGTGGAGATGAGGGAAGAATGGTGGATATACAACGAGAGAGGGCGTCGGCGATCTCGTTGTGGCTGCCTTTAATGTGTTGGACGTCGCTGGAGAACTCCGAGATGTAAGCCAAGTGGCGCAGGACACGAGGTGTATGTGACTGGGAAACTGAAGCGAAGGCGTGGACGAGGGGCTTGTGATCAGTGAAGATGGTGAACTGACGGGCCTCGAGGAAGTGTTGGAAATGTCTGACAGCCAAGTATATGGCCAGGAGTTCTCGATCAAAAGCGCTGTACTTGAGGTGTGGTGGTTGAAGCCGTTGTGAGAAGAAAGCAACGGGCATGAATGTTCCGTCGATCTCCTGCTGTAAGACGGCGCCCACTGCAGTAGAAGAAGCGTCTGTTGTGAGAGTGGTCCGGGCGTTAGGTGCGGGGTGGGCCAGGAGGGTGAGGCGTGTGATGTGCTGTTTGATAGTGGTGAATGCCGTAGTAGCCTCTTGAGTCCACATGAGAGACTT